ACACAAATGGTCCTTGAGGTTTGTTGTATGTCGCAATTTGGTACAAGGGTAAAATAGTTATTTCATAAAAAATCTAATTTTAACAGTTGGAAAGTTAGTTTTTGGACTATTCATGAAATTTTACAAACCACGGGAACAAGTGGCATGACGTTTTCCAAAAAAGTACTCAAATTATGATATTTTGCAAACTGGACCAATTATGAAAATTTGAAAATTGGTCTTTTCTTTATCATTATATAACTCTATTTAACTTATTTATTATAAGAAACAATTTCCTAATTGGTCCATATGGTTTGCAAAATATCTCACTTTGAGGATTTCTATAGAAAACGTCACGTCATTAGTCCATGGGGTTTGCAAATTTTCATAAATGATCATTCTGCCGTTAAATCTAACTTTTCAGCTATTAGATTTTTCTGAAAAATACTAATTTACTATTGTACCAAATTTGCAATATACTACAAACCTCATAGACATTTTGTGTAATTTTGTAAATTTGAAATTATATATATATATATATATATATATATATATATATATATATATATATATATATATATATATATATATATATATATGACTAAACTGCACAAATGGTCCCTGTGGTTTGTCGAAAATTGCCACTTTGGTCCAAAAAGGTTTGGACTAGCACCAATGGTCCAAAAGTTTGATTTTGTTGCGAGTTTGGTCCAATTTACTTTGAATTTTTTTAAAATGACATATTTGCCCTTTTTTAATTTTATTTTCTATTTTTTTAATTTGTTATATTTCTGATTTAAATTAAACAAAAAAGAAAAAAAGAGATCTATTTCCAGTCCTCCCTCTTGTAAATAACACCACCACCACCGATCACCATCTCCTCTCTCTCTCTCTCTCTCTCTCTCATTGGAACACCTCCGATCTCAACCCTCACCAGCATGCTCTTTGTTTCTTCTCCGGCGATGGAAACATATCTGCAAATGAGGGTTTGCTTTGAGCTAGGTTTTGCTGAGGAACAATCAAGTCGAAGGAGATGATGAAAGGCGGCGAGAGGCAATATGTTTGCTTCTGACGGTGGTATCCCACAAACCAGCTTCCAGATCTGGACGGAGGAGGATCTGGGTTGAGGAGGATCTGAATCGTCGCCACCAGATCTGTCGATTCAGGCTTTGTAAGGATGCATTTCAGACTCTCGGAGGTGGCTTCGTCAAGAAACCCTCAAGATCGACGACGTTCCAGATATGTAAATGTCGTTGTCTTCACAAACCGATGATAGCTTCGTCTGGAAACTTGAGCCACAAACGTCGCCTCCGTCTCTCGCTCCTTCTCCAGCGAGTCTCGTCTCTCTCAATCCGACGACCAGTTAGGGTTTTAAGATCCGACAAGTTAGGGTTTCAGATCGCCGACGTCCTTCTTCTTCACTGAAAACCCTAAGGTGGCGACGCTAGGGTTTCAGAAGTTGGTGATGGTTTTTGTCAAAAATCGGGGTTATGGATATGGTTTCCGGTGGAGAAGACGAACCAAGAAAGTGACAAAAGGGTCTCCGCTGGTGGGAATTGATTAGGATTGGTTGTAAGTGATGGAGACTTTCAGATTTGTTGGAGGTTGCTGGTGACAGAGACGATGGGGGATGAAGGTGGGGCTGAAGGCGGTGGCACCAACGACGAAGACGGTGGTGGCGTCGACAATGATTTTGGATGACAGTGGTTTCCGTCGGTGACACCGGTTTCCGGCGATAGCATCGGTTTCTGGGCTTTATGAACTGTTCTTGAGAGCCATGAAGAACAAACAAAGAGGGAAGGAGAAATATTGGGAAGGAGAGAGAGAGAGAGAGAGAGAGAGAGAGAGAGATTTTATTTTTATTTTCTTGTTTTTTAGAGAGAGATAGAGAGATTTATTTTTATTTTTATTTTATTGTTTTTTTTCTTTAAATCTGAAAATCAGGAAAACAAATAAGATAAAAGATAAAACAAATTAACAGGGGCAAATCCGTCATTTTGAAAAAAAATCAGAACAGATTGGACTAAAGACGCAACAAAATGAAAGTTTTGGACCATTGGTGCTAGTCCAAACCTTTTTGGACCAAAGTGGCAATTTTCGACATACGACAGAAACCATTTGTGCATATATATATATATATATATATATATATATATATATATATATATATATATATATATATATATATATATATATATATATATATATATATATAATAAAAAAATGGTACATATGGTTGTCAAAATTATGTGGTTTTGTTCCAAAAAATAATTTGTGGTTCAAAATGGTCCAATTTTAGATACCTTATGCGTTTTTGGTCCAAAAAATATTAATTTTAACAGTTTAATAGCCAAACTACAATGACAAATTTTACATCTCTTTTTTTATTCAATTATTATACATTAATGATTTTTTTTAATTTCTATTTATTGGATTAGTTTTTCTATGGTATTATTATATATTAAAAAATATTATTTTTAATATATAATATTTATAAATTAATAAATATTACTTTATTGGATTATTATCTACATTTAATTAATTCATTTTTTAATTTCTTTTTAATAGATTATTTGTTTTTATTGGATTGTCATATATTAAGAAATATTATTTTAAATATATAATACTTATATATTAAAAAATATTACTTTATTTGATTATCAATTTCTTTTAATTTCTTTTTTATTAAATTAATTCTTTTTTATTAGATTATAATTTATTAATAATTATTATTTAATATATTAATAATTGTTATTTTATTGGATTACTATTTTTTTATATATTTTTAGTTTCTTTTAATTGTTTTCTTTATTTGTTTAAAACAAAAACTCAAAAAACAAATCTCACCCACCCAACATCTCCTAATTTATTTTAAATATTTGGAATATAACATATTTTAGACAACATCACCACCATTACCCAGTCCGGTAGTCACGACGTGAGGGTATGATCTTCACGACGTGACGAGGGTTTTGTTCGCGACTGAGATGTCTAAATCTGGAGTTTCGGGTTGGGGTCGGTTTTATTGGCCACGACGTGGCTAAGAGCTGGTCACGACGTGGGAATTGGACGTTAGTGACATCAAGGGTTGAATTTGATCATTGACTTTTTGGCATGTTTGAATTTTAGTCAAACTAAGGGTTTTGGAGTGTAGACTGAGAGGGTACTCTTTATTGATGTTAGGTGCCTTGTAAGATCAGACGTTGTCTGGTGAGAGCTGTTGTGTTTAGTTGCTACTTACGAGGTGGGTCTTCTTAGTATACTTTCTTGTGTGGTAGTATATGTTGACCAACTGGGTCTTATTTTTTTATTATTGCAATATGTGAAATGAATTGCTGATAACTCTAGGACCGTTGTGAGTCCATGATACTGTTGATAGTCTCCTGCAGGGTTGCTGATAACCTGGGAGGTGTGCTGTTAATCCACAGGGCGTGTTGTTAGCCCATTGAGACTGCAGATAGTCCCCAGGTTTGTTGTTAACCCATAGTTGATTATACCGTGTGATATATGTGACATTCGAGACTGCTGATAGTTCCAGGGTTGCTGATAGAACATAACGGATTCATATGATGTGTTGTATGAGATATTTTTTGGGAACTCACTAAGCATTGTGCTTATAGTTGTGGATTAACTATTTTGCAAGTACTTATCGGGTGGCAAATGTGTGACTGTACACACACATCAGCAATTTTATGATTCGAGATTCCACATTGTCTTCATTATAACTTTGATTTATGAATAATTGTTTATGAACAAATGGTTTATCCTGAATGTAACTTTATTTAAAAAAAAAGATGTTATATTATTTTTAAAAATTAAAAATTTTAGCCTGGTTTTTGGGATGTTACATAATTGAGTCGAGCTCATGAGCTTAATCGTAATTCTTTTTCAATTAATGTAATTTTATCTTTTAACAATTAGTCGAGTCGAGTCGTATTGATGCCATGCATGGAGTTTTGACTCCATTTATCACAATTTTGACCTAATTTGGGGTGTGACATGCATTAGAAATGCATGTCTATAAAGCAATGATTCTTATGAATCTTGCGAGTGCAAAGAGGCTTTTTGGAAAGTTTAGGCAAATGACTTAATGGATTAAAGACTTAATAAATGAATGGATATGGCAACGTAACCGAGACGTGGCCAGGACCTTGTCACGGCGCGGTGGGTAGATCCATCGCTTTTGCTGGTTTGACAGAGACCAACGATGCGGCAAAGGACTTGCCATGGCGTAGTGGTCTACAGAGTTGACTTTGAGAATTGACTGTTGACCGTTGACTTTTAATCAGATTGACTTTTGGTCAATTCGTTAGTTTTAAGCTTTGTGCTTATGATTTTAATTTTATTGTTTCAGGTACTTCTTGTCCTAATGGTAAGGGCCCGATATGATTGTATGACATCCATTGGAGTTTTTCCGTACTATCTGTTTTTATGACTTTACATGATGTTTTGAGAATACGTTTATACTTTGATTGACTTTGAATGAATGAATGAATGGTTTTATCTTATTAAAAATAAGAAAATTACTTAGTATTTTTAGATGTCGTACATTCCATATAAACATTGCCTCACTTTGCCACACAACAACTTACCAGATACAACTATAAAGGTATTTAACGCAAATTAGTAAACATCAACTCTATGAATGCATGAAAATGACGTATGATGGGAAGTTACTTTAGTTAATTACAAACAGTGAATTTTATGAAATTCCTTATTGCTTTTACACGATTTGAGAGTGTAGATAGGAGTACCCTAAGTCCATATTTATTTTATTATAATAAATAATGTATGTCAACGAAATATAGGTTATGTCCCTTTAATCCCCCTTTGAAACCATTGTTTCCACGCGTCACATTCTTAGAACATTTCCATTTTAGGAAATAGTCAAACGAGAGAACGTTTATATTATACCGTTTAAGGGGAAAAGAAGCATGCATCTTGCCACGTGGTTAACATAATGCGCCACCTATGTTCACCTTCACTGCCACCTGTAACACTACACAACTCAGCCAGTCACCCCTCGAGCTTTAAGAATAAGAACCCCTCCCCCTCCATCAATCTCACCGGAGATCGCCATCGCTGATCTTTTCATAAAAAACAATCACATCGAAAATGCATCCAATTAACGTCGCACCCCACACTGAAATTCCCGGAGAAAAAACCCACGTCGGCACCTCCCTAGTCGACACCGCCGCCTCCACCATCCAATCGTTCGGCCCACCCAAACAAATCCACCAACACCTCTGCGCGTAAATTTAAATCATAAAATTACAGATTCAATTGTGATCCAAATCATGGAGTAATAACTTTTATTGATTTTTTATTAGATTTCACTTTTACGCCGACGACATGACGCGACAAGTGGAAGCGCACCACTACTGCGGCCATCAAAACGAGGAAATGAGACAGTGCTTGATCTACGATCGTCCAGACGCCGACGCCCGGTTAATCGGAGTTGAATACATCGTAACAGAAAAACTGTTCTTAACCTTGCCGGATTCAGAAAAGCCGATGTGGCACAGCCACGAGTATGAGGTGAAGAGCGGCGTCCTTTTCCTTCCCGGCGTCCCTGGTCCTGTTGAGCGGCAAGATCTGGAGAAGGTGGCGAAAACTTACGGGAAGACGATTCACTTTTGGCAGGTGGATAGAGGCGATCAGCTGCCGTTAGGTCTACCGCAGATGATGATGGCTCTAACTCGTGATGGCCAACTTTACCCTAATCTTGCTAAAGGTACAATTTACACTTTCTGATTTCCGCCATTTTTTAGCACCTGTGTAAGAACTCTTATCGATCGATTATTATTACAGAAGTGGAGTCTCGCTATGGCGTTTCGTTCCAAAAGGAAAGAGAAAACAGAGCGTATATGGAAGGTTTATCCCAAGGAATTCACCCAAAAGCAAACGCCGGTGGAGTCGGACTCAAAACTGTTGTACGAGAGATCGATTGCAAGCCTTCCGGCCACCCCACTCTGGAACCTATTCCTAGGGTTTTCGTTTGAAGAAACTCCATTTTTATGTTTTGTTATGTTCTTCGTTTCTAGAATAAAGAAACTGATGCTATGAATGTAGGAAGAACACGAACAGCATACATCAGTAAAAAACGACGATAGTTGCAGGTTTAATGTGATTTCTGTACAATAAGTAGGATCTGGATCTCTGTAATAACTCTTTACGTATATTACGAAATTTGAAGAAATCATGGAACTCGCTCCAAAACTCTCTGTAATGCAAATTTGATCCCATCTTGATTGAGTGAAGTTACGAGTTGTATTTCCTGTACTTGTCTTCCTGCTCGAGCAAGGAGTGTGAACTGATTTCCATTAGGGGGTGCCTGTAACAGTTTGAAGAAAGATTGTGAGATTTGAAACTTGATTACAGTGGATTTTGATCGATGAATTGATGATTATATAAAGCAAAACTTACATTTGATAGCCAAAGTTGGAGATCCTGTGATACAACTCGTTTCTCGAATCCTTGACGAGTTATTTTTATGTCGATTATGCTGTTTGAGGAAATGAGAGAAGTGAGAAAGGATAGATGGTTTAATTTAAGAGATTTGTTGAGTGAATATGAATATGATGGATCATTACCCTTCTTCTCGTTTTAGTTCTTCGACAATTGTTTCGAGACCTGGAAGTGGGTCGATGACATAGTCTTCCGAAGTAGAACCACCTGAATCATCCTGCATATGATATGTTATAGTCGTTATTTTTTATTCTCATCCGTATACATAATGTTTAAGTAATTTAACCTTAACCTAATTATTAAGTTCGAAGTTCAAACAATTTGCAAATTTTAATATATTAATTTAGATTTAGGAATTTTGGGATTATATACAACAATATGTTACTAATTTAAGTAATTTAACCTTAACATAAAAGTTCAAATATTTTGCAAATTTTAATGTATTAATTTATGTTTTTAGGATTATATACAACAATATGTTAGTAATTTAACATTATCAACATGAAAACCATCAAAAAGAACATTATAAACAACACGACATGAAAACTGGCCCAAACAAAAAGTATGTGACCATTATAAACAACACAACAACATGAAAAATAAAGAAAAAAAACTGGTCCAAACAAAAAGATTGTCAAATGTAAATCTTTTAAAAATGGCAAACGAAAAAAATATAAAGGTTTTTTCTTTAAAAAGGATAAATAAATAAATAAAAATGAAAGTTCAATAAAAAAGTCATATATATATATATATATATAGATAGATATATATATATATATATATATATATATATATATATATATATATTTCATTGAAAAATATAATAAAATTATGTTTTGTTGGAAGATCTTTTGTCCGGATGAATAAAGTAATAAAGTTTTAAAAGCAAACAAATATAAAATAAAATTACATAAAAAAAACATATATATAATTTAAGGTTATCAAAATCGCAGATCGCAAATAAATCGTATATGAGATAGGATTGCAAGTAAGATCGTAGGATTATAAAATCCAGATCCGATCAGAATAAGGGTGTTAGTCGGTTCAAATCTATGGATTTTGATAGAACCGATACAATCCATTCATCTATTGGACGTTGGATTTTGTCAACCGATCCAATCCAACTTGATATAAATAATGAATCAATCCAATTGGATGTTGGATTAGATCGATTTAATCCGTTGTATATTTTGATTGGTTTAATCAATTGGCCATCCATTATCAAACAAATTCTAATATCTTTCTATTGAATATCAACTATAACTATAATAACAAAAGATAAAATTGCAAACAATTACGCTAAATAAGACTAAGTAACATGATAAAAAGAAAATAAATAAATCAAAAAATCAAAAAGTTAAAAAGTTAAATTAGATTTAGCACTTTATGATTTTTACTCTTTACCGGTTTACCGTCTTTTTTTTTCAGACTAATATTTAGAAGTTTTTATAGGTTTTAAATGGAAAACTGAATACTAGAGATATTTTTCATGTTTTGAACTTATAAGTTAAAAATATGTTTTTTTGTGGGATTATAGGATTCCAATCCCGATCTTGTAAACCAAAAAACGATCATATATAGGATCCCGATCTTGATAACCTTAATATATATATATATATATATATATATATATATATATATATATATATATATATATATATATATATATATATATATATCTATATATATATATATATATATATATATAAGGTAGAGGTGTATTAAAAAAAATTATGATAAAAAACATCATAAAATTATTAATAATCTATTTAGAATAGTTTTTTCAAAATTAGTTTATAAGCAATTTTAATTGTTTTATCAAATATTAAATTACAAAAAATTAAAAGATAAACTAGATTATAAATGTTATATATAGGTTGGCCAAGAAAATTAGACACCTTATTTTTCTTCTTTCTTCTTGATCTTTTATCATTTTCTGTAATGTTTAGCCAATTTGGTAAACATAGTTGGACTTGGATTACATGTTCCAATGGATTGTCCAATCACTATTGTATATTTTAGGATTGTCCAATCACTATTGTATATTTTGGAATGGATTTTATTCGGACCGAATAAGTTCCATAAATAACTATTTCATCTTTGAAAAAATAAATATCCTTTTATTTTTCTTCCTACTTATCTTTCTATCCATGTAAAATAATGAAAATGTCTTAAAATATAATTAATTTTATTAAAATATGACACTTGTCACTATTTTAATGGATAAGAAGATAAGCAGAAAGAAAAGATAGGAGAGTATTTAATTTCTCTTCATCTTTATATTGCAACAAACAATTTTTAGGATATTTATTAATTTTAACTAATATTCATTGATAATAAAATGAGAAGAGATGAGAGATTAAAAATAAGAACAAATAGGTAAATAATTTAATGTTGTAATTTAAGTGAGGTTTATTGGTATAATTTATTAAGACATTCAATCCTTATACCTGAGGGATGACTTTCTCCAAAGTTTCTAGCAGTGGATCTTCCTCTAGTTGCTTTATTGACAATGTAATTCTTGATTTATTCCTGCAATATGCTCTCTAATTAAAAGAAAATAATTCCAAAAACGTTCCATTCCCCAAATTTTATTATATCCAGAAAATTAGACTTAGTTATTAGATCTTTATTTCCTCTTGCATCACAAAATAACACCCAAAAAAAATTCACCTATCGACACCAATTACTTTGACCTTGACTAAATCGCCCTCATTCAAGATATCTCTCACATCCTGAACCAAATCCCACGACACCTCCGAAACATGTACAAGTCCAGTAAGATGATAACAACCTACGACACAACAATAAACGTGTTTTACAGTTTTTATAAAAACAAAATGACTGAAATGTCCTTATAGTTTTTAGATATCTACAAAACTAACTTCTTAGTTACCATCTGGAAATCGCAAGTGAGCAAAGGCACCATAGTCTTCAACCGATCCAACTCTTGCTTCATAAATATTTCCAACTTTTACACTATTTGAATACTTTGACCAAGTAGCTTCTTTTTCGGAGAATATTAATTTTCTTTTCTCCTCTTCCGCATGAATCACCTAACATGTATTTATTACACTAGTCTGATTTTCGGTTTTTTTTTTTTGTAGAATTTAAGGTTTAGAAACCGAAGAAACTTGGTTTTCATTTGTAAGTAGAAAAGTACCTTAACGGGAAATAAGAGTACCCGTTAGTGTTTTTGCAATCTCTTGGATGGACTTTTCTGGTTCTACATGATTTACAATGAACAGCATAATTAGAGGTGAGATGATGAGTAATTACAAGAATTCAATGTCAAAAAAATCTTCTGATTTTGAATTCAAATTACGATAAGTTATGGGGTTGGAAAAACATACCTTTACAATAGTGAGATGGGCTTAATTGTGGATATGGAAGAAATCCAACAAGAGAATAAAATCGAATTAGCAAACCACCTCCATTGGATCCCTCAATTCTGCCTTGATATACAATTCCGTTCTCATAATGAGCTCTTGCTGCTTTCCAATCAGCAGATCTCTACTTCTTTGCAGAAACAAAGTTTTAGATACAAAATTGAGAACCAATGAACACAATAATGTTTCTTCTTCATGTTCATATATCGATCATTAGGGACTCGTTGTGTGATTGATTATCTATTTATCAAAGTTCTTCTGAAATTAGCTTTGTCAATTACAATTACGTCAATCGACTAAAAATGCATGGTGGAAAAAGTAGACTAATAGAAATTGAAGTAGAAAGAGAATAAAAGCACACCCGAGCTTGGCGAACGACGTCGTCGTCTTCGTCAATAAGATCCAGGAGCTGAGTTTTCGAGGTGTCGTCGGAGGTGGAAACCTTGGGGGCTGAAATCGAAGGTGAGGTTTTTTTGGGGGTTAAAGAGCTTCGACAAATGAAGAAATTAGTGGTGGAATAGTTCCAAGTTAGCGGTGGTGTTTTCGAAGCAGAAACATCGGTGGCGAGTAAGTGAGAGAGAAAAGCTATACGAGAGACGGAGGAATATGGCGATCCTATTGCGCCGGAGAATTGCATTTTCCGGTGGCGGAGAGTTGAAGAGGGTTTAGGATATGAAGAGAACTAGAGAAGCAATGGGACGTCCTCCATGGATAACATAACGATCGGAAGATGAGAAGATTGGATTAGTCTGTGTGTCGTCGTGTCTTGTTCATGCCCACATGTTGTCGTTTCTCCCATTTGCTCCTATATTTCTTACACCACGAATCCACATCCCTAAATTATCAGCTCAACTGTATTTTAAATCTTAAATCTACTAAAATTATATAACACTAAACTACATTTTTAGTTCCTCTTTTTAGTTTTTCTTTTGTAATTTTGATCCATATTTCTTAACGTTTCATTGTTATTAGCATGGTACTAACTGTATCGATTCAAATATATAGAATACCGAATTGAGTGAAAAACAAAACCGAATACCAAACTGAACTAAGATATATTAGACGTGTTCGGCACAGAGCGTTTGAGAGCTTCTACCTTCTAGCGTTTGACAAAACCCTCCATTTTGAACAAAAAGTCTCGTTTGACACTATAAGCTTTTAGCATTTAGTTTAAACAATACGCTCCAAATCCAAATACTACTTCATATAGCGTTTAATAAAACGCTACAAGCTACATCCTACTCGCTACCCGTTACAAGCTAATTTTGCCGAACACGCCCATTGTACCTGAGTTTTTGGTACTAGTACGGAACCAAATGATTCAAAATTCGAATAATATGTGTAGTTATAATGAAAACACACACACACACACACAATAATAGAACTTACCATTGTAGGGTGACAATTTTCGATACGACACGAACCCGAGACAAAAATAAACGAGTTTAAGTTGAGATTTCTGACCCGCCAACCAGTCAGATAAACGGGTCGTGTTTGGCTTAGTAATTGGGTTCACGGGTTAACTCGCCAACCCGTACTATTTTTTCAAAGGGTATTAGTGTTTAAAGCAAGCTCCCCGGAGGTGGTTCGCCATTTGGTAGTTCACCGTATAATATATTAAATTTAAGTTATGGGGCTATGCTTATCAGCCTATGCGTACTGCATGCTCTAAATCAATCAGTCATCACTATTACGCAAATAATATATGTGTTCATTGGTCAATCCACCAATCCTCTAGCCTGTGAACCCGAATCTGACCCATGAACCTGCGAACTCGTATAATTAAACAAGTTCGATGAGTCGTGTTTGGGTCAATGTTTTTAACCTGCAAACCCGCAACACAAATAATTAAACGGGTTGATGCATTCTGACCCGTCAACCCCTGCCCGACACGATTGTCACCCATAGTTACCATAGTAGATATCTGTATCCATAAAATATCTTTCAAAAAAAATATTACAAATCGATAGATTATTAAATAAACAAAAAAACATTAATAACAATAAGGGCATGTTTGGTGTAGAAAAATTAAATTGAAGCATGAATGAAAATACAAAGTAAGAGAATTAAATAGAAGAAAGAGAAGGTGGATGTCCGTCTTGAGCATGCTCAAGTACCGGGGTCATCTGAGCTTGCTCAGATGCAACAAAGTCAGGGTAAAACAGTGCTCTCACAGTGAACATCTTGGTGATCTCTGTCACCGACTCAGTCCCCTTCCTCAAGTCTAGATACTCATGTGCCAACCTCTCTCTCTCTCTCAACCAATGGAACATGTCTCGTGCGGAACATCTCATAGAACTACTCCTATGAAATAGCAACCCTCTGCTCCAGAGTATAGGAGCTAGCAACTAACCTCCACCAATCCTTCGCCCCCAACCTGAGAAGGTTCAGGGCGCACTTGACCTTCTGGTTAGCTGGACAGGAACAAGTAAAGAAACATCCCTCAACATCAGACAACCACCTCATGGCAATGATCGGATCCTGAGCTCCATCAAACACTGGGGCTTCGTATTGTCGATGTCCCGGTACTGGAAGGCTTGCTCTCTACGAACCCTAGTGGTCGTAGTCGCTGCAGCAACCACAGCCTCAATAAGTGCAGCGTACTGGTCGTCAAAGTACTCCATCAAGGGGGTCTTGATAGACCCAAACTGCTCCGGTATCTGTCCCTAGATAACAGTCACAACCTCAGTAGAGATCAAAGTCCCGATCTCCTCCTCTGTCAACCACGACCTATCTTGGCCACTTGATCCAGCTACCAAATCGAATCTCCTCGTCATCACCATACTGAAAACAAACCAAAAAAAATATCATTTGAGATACATTTCACACCATAGGAGCTTTTACGATTAATAAAACCCTAGGGGTTGTAACTTCCCTGTTACGCGTACGGGTCCTGTGCTTCCAATAGTACGGGCCCATACCACCTTCCGCACCTACCCGTATTCGTCTCAGAGATCATCACAAAAACAATAATAGCACACACTTCCTATTCTCACTTCTTAGAGAAAGGCTAGACATTCCTCAACTGGCCGACTACTCTCACATAACTCATCCACGAAACTTCCACCTACCCTGCAACACTTGTGTATGCTAAGCATACATAACACTGGATCCCATAAACAGTCGAATACTTGATCCTAACCTAAGCCTACAACCAAACAAGAAACATAAAATAAGGCCAAACTAAACATTTTTAGACTATAGAATCGTAGTTATGTATAACTATGATGCATACACTAAGAAACTACAGTAATGATGTAAATCTCATACAAGAAATAACTCTAGGCAAACAAGCATCATATATATCAGGCAATTCTATCATGAAATTCCTAAAGATCCCTAACATATCACTAGCATGTTGTTCTAACATAATTATAATATCAAATAACAGTGTTGGTAACTTGGGGTATATTTTCTTGCTTCGCCTGATTGTACATATCTCATCCTTCCTTGGTCACTTTTGAAAACCAATTTAAAGACTTTTACAGTTCCCTGGTTTGAGTATGGATTCACATGAATGCTCATCCAATTCTCTCAAACCAAAGATCTGATACCAACTTGTACCACTCCTAAAAATCGCAATAATTTAAAATTTTCATAAATCAGCTATTCATCATCATTGTTTACAAAACTAGTCATTGTTTCAAAATTGTTATTTCAAATCAGAGTTTTTCCCCAAGATCCGGTAACAAAACAGGAAATTGTGTATAATCACGCCTTTGCCTTCCCACGATTCGCGGAAGTACCTGAAACTATAAACAGATAAACTAAAACTGTAAGCTAAAGCTTAGTGAGTTTCCCCCAAAGTACCAATACACCACATAACAAGCAAGCATGCAAATATGAGTAACCAGTCTGACTGGACCGCCTCGCAGGGCCTACAACCTATCTGGATCGCTCTATGAGCAGTCGGCCTGACTGGACCACCTCGCAAGTCCTACAGTCTATCATGTCCGCTCTTCGGGCCGTCAGACTGACTGGACAGCCTCGTAGGGCTTACAACCTATCCGGTCGTCCCCAGGTGTCTTGGCCTACAGTACAAAGCAGGACTGCCTCAACCCAACACAACATGTCAACATATGCAACAAACAAACACAAACACAGAGCCAACAACACATATAATCATACAGATCTACTTAACAGCTACAACTCTCATATCACTATCCTGAAAAGGGTAAATAATCTAATGGGCTGACCTTGGTGCCTTCGACCCACGGGTACAGTGAGGAAAACTCACCTCATAGTCTGACAATAGCTGAACAACACACTGCTCCGAATGTCGGCTCTACAGATCACCTATTCAACAGATAGAGACTAAGACTCAACTACAGCTCAAAAACCCAAAATACCCTTAAGTCAAACTTGGTCAAACATGGTCAAAGTCAAAGTTAATGTCAACGGGTCAAGGAGTTAACTTGGTCCACTCAGCCGACTACGCAGGGTGTACTCAGCTCCTACATTGGGTGTACTCGAGCTTTGACCAGAGTTAGGAGATTGACCACGTACGTGCGACGTACGCTAAGGTATGCATGACGTACGCTCAGAACCTCCTTTTTCTCCAAAAGATCTTAATGCATTAAGCACTCACATCCAAACATCAGATCCAAGGCTAAAATACCACTAAGAGTCATAAAGTTTCCAACTTTATGACTTTGCATGTCCATTAAGTGCTTAATTCACAAAATCTCAACATCCTAATGCCATAATACCCTCTAGAGCATGCAAGGAGAACAACTAAGCATCAATAGTACATATTTATGGCTGAAGATACCTCATAAGGTCTGAAAGGACAACTTATTCGGTTAAGCGCATGTCATGCTAAAGAATCACCATATTTGGGACCAAAAGTGCCCTAAATGAAGAAATGGCTAGATCTACAAGATAGGGTGATCAAGTTATGAACTTTTTACCCCCTGGAGGTTGCTAGCAAGGAGATATTCTTAGATCCAAGTTGCTTCCAAGCTCCAAATGATGGGTTTTATGTACTATAACACCCCTATGGTGCACATACAACCCTAATGCTTTGGATCTAAGTTTTCTCTAGTTATACATGCAAAAAAAAATATCTAAAGCATGAAACCTATAACTAGGATACAACTTTGATATTTGAACCATAAAAACAAGTTAGTCAATTACCTGTTTGTTGTAGCTTGTAGAGTTTTGGCCTTTTAAGAGCTTAGCACCTCAAGTGTGATGCCTCAAATGGTTCACAAAACACCATGAACAAATGGAGAACTTTGAGAGAGAGGTTGGAGCACACAAAATCGGCTAGGGGTCTCTTAGAACTCTTGGGTGCCAATTTTGGAGCTAAGGGATTACTTATATATAGTGTGGAATTCCTAGGGTTTCAACTTGTAACCCTAATCCACTTCCTTGGGCCTTTAATCTAGTAATCAATATGATAAGCCTTATGGACTAACACTTCATGGACTCTCACATAAACTTAGTCCATCAGTAATCAATCATGGATCATTAGCCCAAACTATATGTATCACTGATTTACTTAATCAATCTCCGTTAATTTAATCAGTCTCTTTTGATCACTAAATTAATTCCAAATTAATTCTTGATCAATACTAATTAAATAATATGATTTCTCAATTTAATATATTATACTTATAATATATTAATAAATCACAAATAACCTCTTTCTCAAATATTCATCCTATCAAATTGTTCTGGTGAATGCAACCCAAAATGGACCATGCTACTCTCGGGTCAAGTACATACCAATTATAGTTATGGGCTTAGACACCTAATCCAACAGTCTCCTACTTGGATAAGTCTAATAATTATAACTACAAGTACGACTTGAAAAACCGACCAAC